TTTTACTAAGCTTTGGACAAACTAATGTAAGGAGGGCTAACATTTATCATTTTCTTTTATATGCTGTCCTTCTGTTTGAGAATTCCCGGAAAACTGTATGTTACGATTAAACAAAATATTAAAAATAAACATGACCATCATAAATAGCAAAAATACTTCACATAAGAGCTGATAACACAGACAAAAATAAAAAATAAGTTATTAAGGTTTAAAAATTAATTTAAAATTAATCAGCCTTGTCTCCCCTTTTGAATCCCTACAAGAATATCATATTTTGTAGGGACTTGGGAAGAAAACGCCAGAGCATTGGGGCCAGGAACATGAACAGATCTTTTCCTAAAACATTCAACCTGAACAACTTTAACAGTTGACAGCTTTAAAAGGGCAATCCTAAACAACCTTAACGGACACAAGGGTTTATACAGATAGAGCCAGTTCAAGTGGTATGTGGGTCTCAAGCTAGGTAGGTTTTAAAGGTAATAACCAATATATGGAGCATTCAAGAAAAACTTTGACAACCACCCGGCAGATATCCTTTGATCTGTGTTCCTGCATCAAGCAGGAGGTTGGACTTGACGGCCTTATAGGACCCCTCCACTATTATATGATTCTATGATATTGAATTGAATCAGCCATTCTGGTGCAGAATAGGTGTGATATTATTGCTGCAAGAGGCACCTGTCAGTAGCCCAGCCATTGTATGCTGTACCAGTTGAGCCTACTGAGTTGTCTTCAAGGATGATCTTCTGTAGAGCAAATTACAACAGTTTTATCTTAAGGTTACAGAAGCATGGTTCAGGCAGGGCACTTCAGTCCCTACAGGCAGGGAGAAAATTTCCTTACTAAGGGCAGTTAATAAAATACTGACTTGGCCACAACTTCCACCTGTTTCTGCAAGAGGAACACAGAATCTAATAAGACAGCGAAGTTTATTATCTGATTTTCAAGATTCCAGCATGGAAGTCCTTTCTCAGACATGAAAGACACATGGCTGGCTCATTATCCAATGGCAGAAGCATTCTAGAGAAAATTGAACAACTTTCTATCAGATCTGCTTTGATTTGGATTCCAGCACTGAGCAGGGGGTTGGGCTTGATGGCCTTATAGGCTCCATCCCACTCAATTATTCTATAATTCTATGATTATCTTTCCAATGCAGACATACTTTTAGCTGTAATTATAAACTACTCATAAAATCACTTTCTTCTCTGTGCCAAATATACACTAAGCAAATCTTTGGGACTAAATTAGACATATAGTTCTTCACCAGACTGGCTTGGTTTTCTTTTCTTTTTTAAAAAAGGGCCATACTCTAGAGTAGGTTTGCAGCATGAAGGAAGATGACTTTGTTCCTAGGGCATCTTCCTTAAAGGGGCTAATTAACTCAAGAGGAACATTCCCATTCTCACCAGATAAAATGAAAACTGTTTGACTCTCCCGTCATTTAACTTTACTATTCCTGACTCCCTAATGTATCCTCCTAGGACCCAGTGTGGTGTACCACAGTGGTCATCAACCTTGGGCCTCCAAATGTTCTTGGACTTCAACTCCCAGAAATCGTGGCCAGCAGAGGTGGTGGTGAAGGCTTCTGGGAGTTGTAGTCCAAGAACATCTGGAGGCCTAAGGTTGGGGACCACTGGTGTACTGGACAAGAGTGACTGACTGGGAGTCAGGAGACCTGGGTTCAAATCCCTGTTCTGCGATGGAAACTCACTGGGGAGCAGTGGCACTGGTAAAACCACCCCTTAAATATTTCACATACCCCCAAAACTTTGTTGGGTCACCATAAATTGGATCTAACTCGACAGCACATAACACACAATGTGTCTTCTTAGACTGTAAGCCTCAGGGTAGTGCTTGTACTGTTTTTAAAATGCAGGTGTGGCTCTTAGCTCTGTATTTTGAGCCTTTTATATGATGGACAGATTCCTGTCAGTGATTTAAGCATGTATAAATTCAATTGCATAACGGATCGTGGGAAAATGTCAATAACTAACAAGGCACTGGTCACATTGATAAGCAATGTGCATGGCCTCATAGCATGGCCAGCATTATGACAGCAGCAATTTGTGGTGGTGAATCACACAGTTCAATTGATGCATGCCTAAATCACCGACAGTATTGTGGTCAGCTACTAGAGGATTTCTAACATATAACCTATGGTTGTTGCGTAGGGGGATTTGTGTAATTTAAAATATGAAAAAAACAAACCAGCTGTCCTTTACTCTTTCTAAGGATCTTGTATTCAATTCTGCATCAAGCAGCTGGCAGGTACAACTTCAGTTGTCACAACATGGGAGTTGGACTTGCTGTCCTTAACAGGGACCTTCCAACTCAGTTTTTCTATGATTCTATGAATATCTGAGGCTCTGAACATACAACCATTCCAGTAGCTGGTCTTGACTGATTTACAGGAAAAGGAGGGAGGGCAGAAGAGGCTAAAGTGCACATATTTCCCTTCCTGGCAACACACTTGTCTCACACAACCTTTGACCTGTCACCGATTCTTGTGGGACAGTTGCATCGCACAAGAATGTGCCATCGCCCCAGGGCTCATGTGGTTCTCATCATCTTCCCAAAGCTGGATGGGTGGGAGTGCTCTCCCACATACAGCTATTTGGATGTGTCAGTGGCCCTGAATGTAGCAGTAGGCCAGCTCTGCTCATGTTCCTGCGTTGGTGGAGTTTACAGCAGGGCAGACACTGCGTCTCCCTTTCAATATCTTCATATGGCAACCAAGGACACTTGATTATTCTTCAGCACAGTTGCTCTGATTATCTTCTTCCCCCACTGAGTAGATCTTAAATTTCAGTTTTAATAATTCCTTCCCCTTTTTTTGTCTGCTTTTCAAATATCCGCCTCCTTCCTTTGGCCTGACTGACCCCACTCCCACGAGTAAGACCCCCTTTGGCATAACAGATTTTACATCAAAAAGCTATTTTTTTTCCTGGACATAGTGTGTCCCAGCTAAAGTGCTCCCAGGAGGCCTATGATAATTCATTATTATTCATGTCATTCACAGTCTTTTTCAGTGGCTTTAGGTGGAACCTCACACAAGTTTTAGCTTTGAATTGGGATTTAAAGGCGTCATTTCTGATTTGATATCAAGGAAGAAATAATATCTACAAATAAATTCACCAGTTAAACCCTGAATTTGGAAAAATGTTAACTGGGCTGTTAATCAGAACTGGGGACAAGAGTCTGGTAGATCTCTGATGCTCCCTGAGTATGGAAATGTTACTTTTTAAGACTACGAGCCCCATAATCTTCCACCAAGGATGGGATAATGTATGCATTATTTCTTTATTGAATTTATTTCTCACCTTTCCATCAGTGACCTTAATGTACAATATACGGCTTTCCTTTTCCCTGCAGTATTGTTAAAACAACCCTGTGAGACAGGTTGGGCTGAGAGGAAATGACTAGCACAAGGTCACATGAAAAATTTAATGGGGTCAAAACGTGAATCTCTTAAGTCCCAATTCAGCGTTGGGTATTCCCCGCATCAATTGGGGGAGGGACTGTGTGGGGAGAAGGTTTAAACTTCCTCTAGTTAATTCAAGTTGGCGTCGTCTAGATTAAACTCACATGTACTGTATTATGTTGTGAACTATCTCTGGAGGCAAAAATGTTGAAACTGAGGCTGTCCTAATTTGGGTATATCACAAGAAGGCAGGATTCTCTGGAAAAGACAATAATGCTTGGAAATATGGAAGGCAGCAGGAAAAGAGGAAGACCAAATATAAGATGGGCTGACTCCTGAGCAAGCCAGGTGCCCTTGGACTGCAGCTCCCAGAAACTCTGGCCAGCACAGCTAGTGGTAGAGGCTTCTGGGAACTGCAATCTAAAAACACCTGCGTTACCCAAGTTTGGGAACCTCTGCCATAAAGGAAGCCACAGGCTCAAGTCTACAAGAGCTGAGATGGGCAGTTGAGGACAGGCCATTTTGGTGATCTCTCATTCATAGGGACACCACAAGTCAGAGGCACCTTGATAGGACATAAGAACAATGTTGTGAATAAAAAGGGAAGAAATCTCAGCTACATACAGTGTGTTTAATGCACCTGCTCAAGGTGTAGTTGTCACCTCTGCTTTTATGCAATTGTTTTTTTCCTTCTTTTTGATCTGTCAGAATTGCTACCCAAATGATATTTCGTCTTCTCATTGTATTACAGAAGGGGAAGAGATGACTGGTGAAAATGAATAAGGTTGTCTCTTGCCTTTTCTAGTAAGGAAACACTTTCTTATACTGTCTTGCATCTATCTAATCAGATTCCACAGTAGTGTACCATAATGAATATGTATTTAAGTACTTAAACAACAATACAAGGCAATAAAAGATCACTAGCAAAACAACAAAAACGAAAGAGAGCAAATGAACTGTGGGATAGTTCAGTGGTTTAGGTATCTCACCATGGAGCCAGAGGTTGGGAGATTTATTCCCTACTATGCCTCCTTGATAGGGGCTGGACTCGATGTTTCATAGGGTCTCTTCTAGCTCTGCAGTTTTAGGATGATGATGATTTACAACGCAGACAGATGGATTATACAAATAAAAGTGGCTGGGTAAATAAAACAATGTCTTTGTTTTACGGGGAGAGGTGTTTCCTCATATATCTGATTTACACAGAAACATTAGCGAATCACCTTATACTAAGTCAAACCACTGAGCCGTATTGAACATGATCATTGACACTGAAGGCAGTGACTTGCCAGAATTTCAATGCTGAGGATTGAATCTGGACCCTTTTGCATGCAAGCAAATCTTGTGTTCTACCGTTGAGCTACTATCCCCTCCCTACCCTCATGCTGCTCAAGTATTTGATCTAGAGATACCTTAAGATGACTCGTTTGCTATGCTCTGCACTTCAGTTGAATTAAGGGGACTGCAAAACTGGTATTGTCAGAGCCACATTATTCCTGTCCCTGGTGTAAAATATATCTTGCTGTGGACATTTTAGTTTGAAGGATACTTCCATTCTACTTATTCAGCCTCTTACCTCAATTATATAATCCTTCCCATCTTTGCTGTGGACAGCTTTGACTGCACAAATGTCAAGGCCTCCAAACATCTCTGCAACTGAATCTGCCCAGAGCCGATACCTGCAAAAACCAGATGAGATTATTTGTAGGAATTAACATTTTAAAATTTTATGACGACAACTACTACTACTACTAATGATCAGGATGACATCATTCTTATATTCCCATGAAATATGTACTCTTCTTGTTTAGGAGGGAAGCATGGAAGAGCTCCAAAGTGCCTTTATTTAATAGCACGAGAGTTTCTCTCTTTGCAAACGTTTCTTGACTTGTTGGCGAAGGACACTGTTTGCTGTTTTGCCTCAGGCAGCATAATGTCTAAGGCCAGATTTTCCTTTCCCCTTTTTATCTCATCATCACCTTACAGAGCCAAAAGACTTATCTCAGACATGTTTCAGATATGTCCACAGACAAGAACAGCTCCTGACAGGATTTCTGATTGACATCACCCTAACAAGGTTGTTGCTGTTGTTGTTGCTACTGCATTCCAATTATGAGGTAACAAAACGGGAGGAAAAGGCAGAAAAACAGGAACCAGAGATGAATAATTTGAATACCTTTCTTGGCAGGGAAATTGTAAAGTTAGAATAAATTCACACCAGTGAGCTAATGCTTTCCCACACTGTCTTTGTATGAGGAGAAGAGTACAAGGAATGTACTGTTGACATTGGAGATTAACCCTATGAATCAAGTAGGTTATCCATGCTAATGCACAAGGCACTGTGAGGCCTGCTGATGTACAGCAGGGAATGCATTAAAATCATGGGCAAAGAAACGGGCGTTTATGTGAGGCCAGAGAAAGACTGGGTAGTAAGAATGGTTAGGCTTTCTTGGTTCCAAAGCCAGGTAAAGGCAAAGCCAAAATTAGTCAGTCTCAATCAAGACTCAAACAAAGGAACAGATGATGATGATGATGATGATGATGATGATGATGATGATGATGATGATGATAATAATAATAATAATAATAATAATAATAATAATCGTCATCATCATATCCCAAGAGATTCTTGTCAAAATCTGGAGAATGTCAGCTTCTTAAGGCTCTAGGCCTCATGGATATTAATATACAGTGGTGCCTCGCTTGACGACATTAATTCATTCCAACGAAATCGCTGTACACCGAAAACGTCATAAAGCGAAATTTAAAAGCCCATTGAAATGCACTGAAAATTGTTCAATGTGTTCCAATGGGCTGAATACCTGCTCGTTCAGTGAAGATCCTCCATACGGCGGCCATTTTTGGTTGCCTGTCTTGCGAAAAATGCCTCCTAAAAACAATGGGGGAGCCATTTTGAGCAGCTGGCGGCCATTTTGAAAACGCAACGGTCATCTATTTTGATCGTCGTAATGCGAAGAATCAGTTCCCGAAGCAGGGAACCGATCATCGCAAAGCGAAAAACCCCATTAAAACATTGTTTTGCGATCGCAAAAAGATCGTCGTGAAGCAGATTCATCGTTATACGGGGTAATCGTTAAGCAGGGCATGGCTGTATAGTTGAAAATATGAAGGTAAAAAATCCCTTTAAATTGCATTGTTTTAAGGGGCAAACTGAAAACTGAAGAATTGTTTGAGCCTATGCTTCTGTAATAATAATGTTTTCTTATGTATCTATCTGAACATGTACATAGCAAACTGCCTTATACCAAAACAGAGCACAAACCAATTTGTTATTGTTTTGTTTGCAGTGTCAGGCAGCCATTCTCTGGTGATTCAAACAGGAACAGTCGCACCCTATCTGGTGATATCAAGGACTCAGACGTGGGACTTCTGCTTGAAAGGATGTGCTCTGCCACTTAGCTAAATCCCTTGCCATGTGGGCTGAATACCTTTTGTCCACAGAAGGTTTCTCTGTAGGAACCTTGTTATTATCTAAAACAACTCTTAGAAAAAGCTGCCAAAACAGTTCCACTCATTGCTGATCCATTTCTGGGCACAATTCAAAGTGCTAAATGGCTTGGGTACAAGCTATTTCAAGGATCACATCTCCCTTTATGAGCCTGCCTGAGTGTCATAGATCATGAGAGAATGAGCCTGCCTGAGTGTCATAGATCATGACAGACCTTTCTCTTGGTCCCACCCCCTTCATAGGTGCATTTGGTGGGGATGTGGGAAAGGGCCTTCTCTGTCATTGTGCCCAAGCTCTAGAACTCCCTCCCATGGAAGGCCAGGTTGGCCCCATCTTTGCTGTTCTTCTCCAAGCAGACAAAGACCTTTCTCTCCAGGCAGGCTTTCCCTTAGTGACTGGCTGTCTAAGAGAAGTTTTTTAATGGGACAGTTTGTATTTTTGTTAACTTTTAAATCTGTTTTATTTTTCATATAATGATTAAGTCTTTTAAAATAGTTTTATAATCTACAGGGTTTTTTTTAGTTTTTAATATTGTGTTTTTAGTGCTGTAAGTTGTCTTCCTTCCTTTTTAAGGAGAAATGTAGGTTACAAATATTTTAAATTGAGCAAGCAAACAAGCAAGCAACTCAAGCACACCCTCACTTCCTTTCTTGCCTTTAAGACCTCTGGGCAACAGATATACAGCAGATATAGTCCTGCATTTGTTCTCTGCCCCTGGAAAAAGGATGCTACACTTGTGGCAAGGGAGTGGGGAGAAAGAACGTAATATGAAACAGGTGCAATTTTTTTCTTGGGTGATAGTTGTCATTCTCCTTAAACTAAAGCACAAAATGAAAACATTTTTTTCCTATAGGATGTGCCTCTATAGGATGTTTGGGATAATGGTTAATGCCATCCTCAACCAAAGCCCATCAGAATGACCCAAAGATTGCACCTCTGGCTGTAGTCCCTTCTATTCATTACCTCTCAGTCATGGCGATCTGCTCCAGCATGGCAGAACCTGTATTTGCTTTCCAGTTTCCAGAGATCGATGTCCTCCTGGGAAAAACAAACAAGCCACATGAAAACAATCAGTTTTTTTCCAGTTACAACAATATTGTAATTTCCTCTCTAGTTTAAAGAAAGGAGGGTGCAAAGGAGGGAAGCTGGATAGTGTGTGTTGGCAGGGAACCCTTTCTGAGCCCTACCATCCTCAATGCTGTTAACCATTTCTAATGGCTCAATGAATGTATAACTGCATCTCCAGGCTGGGAAGTTCCCCCCTGTATGCTGGCATCCTCCCACTTAGTTACATCTCTATCCAAGGGCTGGCTGGGTATTCTTATATTGGCCTTATGAACTCTCTTCTGGGTATGTCAGCCTTTGTACAGCAGAAATGTCTGTGAAAAGCTGGTGGAATAATTAACCTTGCACTCTGCAGTGCAGAATTTAAACGGTACGGAAGGCCCCATGCCAGAAAAGCCAAGAGAAAGCTTCCCACAGAACACCAGCGAGCTTTAGACCAGATTGTAAAAGGAGGCAGCCTGAGCAAAAGACGGAAGAAAAGTGAAACACTGGCTTCCATTGAGTCAGCAGTCCATTGTGGTGGAAATGCAGCTATCTCTACCACCACAGAGTCCAGGACATGAAAAAGCCATCCGGTAGTTTCTCCCACTGACTTCTCCCGAGTTATTAAAGCGCACAAGGCTCTTTTCTCATAACTAGGTGTCAGTGTCTGCGAATGCTGCTAGTGCCGCTGGCAAACATAGCCTTCTGAGCTTTGTGTTGAGGAAAAGTACAACATCTACAAAGCCTCCCCAGCCATCTGATCAGACAATGTCATTGTCAAATCTCACAGACCCCAGCTGAACAGCATCAGGACTGATCGGTGTCACAGAATGTCAAGTATTCCCCACAAACCAACATCCCATACTACAAAGTATTTTTCCACAGACTAAAAGTTAAATTATTAACTTTTAATATACCTACTACATTTTAGTGTTGCTCAGTAAGTCTAGTGTTGCAATTTACTTAAAAAAACTGCAGAATAGTTGAATATATTAGCCAGGCAAGAACATATTCAAGCATTGCCAAGAAAATGTGACTCAGTTACTGTTGTTCAGTGATCCCACATCTCACTGAACACTTCTAATGCTCCTTTATATAACCACTAGGATGACTTACCAGTTGTCTAGTCTTCCTTGCTATCTTAATTCTTGTATAAATGATAGAAAACCAACAGTGTAATTTCTATTACAATGAAAAAGAACCCTTGTTCTTTGTTACCCACCCCCGAAGTATATGTCAAACTCACATGTAAGCTTTGTAATTGTTGCCGATTTTCTGGATCCGAATATCATATTTTGAATCTATGAAAGTCTCTGTTGTGACATACGTTTTGGCCATGGCTACCACGCTTGCAATGTCTTGGAAGTCATGCTGGTTTTCAACTTTCACCTTTATTTGACAAAGATCCAGATAGACAAAATAGAAAAATACATGAGTAAGAAGATCAAAATTGGTGTGCAGTTACTGCGACATGCCCATGATTGGCAGGAACTATATGTTTCAGATAACCTACAATAAGCTTTTTACTATGGGTTATCTGAAGACAGGTGCAATTTACACACCCTGCTTTAATGTAATTCCTCACATTACAGCAGGACATCGAGCAGCAACCAGCCCATGGACCAGTCAGTACTGGGAGGCTTCTGGTTCTTATTGACAGCACTGGGATTGGGGTAGCCATGTCCATTTTCCGAGCAGGGAAAAAGAGCTCCTGGATTTGCCCCTACTTCCAGCAAAAACAACATTGCCAGCTTCTGTGGGCTGGATGCCTCCTTGGCACTGGTTGGGAAGTCACACTGTACCTGCCTGAGGGACAGCTCCAGTGACTCTGGTTGGTCAAATGTCCTGACCACAGTGCTATCAGTAACTAGGAAGCCTCGAAGTATTGACCAGTGGGCTGAAGATGAGGTTTAAAAATGTTTTTTAGTTAAATCCATTGTGGCAACCTCTACAATGCATAACTACAGTATAGGTACAGGTATATAGGGTAGAAAACGATAAGATATACAGGAAATTAGTAAGATAAGGACTTAATGTGAGAAATATTTAAGTGTAATGCTCTAGAGATGGTGTAGGGCAGTGGTCCCCAACCTTGGGCCTCCAGATGTTCTTGGACTTCAATTCCCAGAAATCCTGGCCAGCAGAGGTGGTGTTGAAGGCTTCTGGGAGATGGAGTCCAAGAACATCTAGAGGCCTAAGGTTGGAGACCACTGGTGTAGGGGATTTAAAGCCCACTGCTACACACAGTATAAATTAGCCTAATCTTGCTCTCTAGACATCATCTTTGGCAATTCCTCCTCTGTTTTGCATGTGTGCAACAGACTGCAAAACTACTGGGTTGGTGGAGAGGAATAATCACACTGGAGATTAGTAATAAAGCCGACAAAGAAAGCTTATTTTATATTGGCTGAAATATTATTGCATAAATTACATCTGCGAAAGAGTGGTGATGTCACCCGCAGGGGCCAAATTTAGGTAAGGAAAAACTTCCTGTTTCTGTCCCACAGCTTTTCTGACTCTATATAATCCCTTTTATTGTTTGGAATCCACGGGGACAAAAGGAAGAAGTCTTTAATTACCAGTGCTAATAGATGGCCTTACTGGAAGGTGGGGGATTTTTTGGTAATTAAAGATTTTCTCCTCCTGTTCTGTGGGTCCCATGGCTTTCCTATGATGAAAGGGATTACATAGGAGTCAGAATAGAAAAAGGACAGAAGTAGGATATTTTTAATAACGGACAATCAGCTTTCACAAGATACAGATCTCTCTGTATAACAAAGATACAGTATTACTAAGAAACAGGATGTGACTTCAGAGAAAGCAGAAGGTCTAAGAGTACATGTAGATTTTTAAAAGGGAGTGGGGGCACACTTGGGCTGTTGTCTCTCCTGTCCTGTAGATCCATTGCTATATGCATGGGTATGTTATTTCAACAAGAAGAATTATTTTGCAACTGAGTGGATGACTCAGTAATTTAGGTATCTGACGGTGGAGCCAGATGTTGGGAGTTCAATTCCTCACTGTGCCTCCTGTGAGTAAAGCCAGCCTGTGTGACCTTGGGCAAGCTGCGCAGTCCCAGGGCACCCCCCAGAAGAAGGGAATGTACACCACTTCAAAGTACTCTCTGCCTAGTAAACCTAGAAAGGGGTCGGCATATGTCAGTATTGATTTGACAGCACATGGTCATCATCATTATTTTGCAAGGAAAAATCCAAGGGAATCTGTAGGTTGTGGGAACAGAAATGGAGCAGCTGGAAACCCAGACAGAGCACTTTGCACTGCAGCATGTTGCTGCAGGTCCCCCATGTACATATTTCCTCTCATATGTCCAAAGTTCAGTTGGGTCCACAAGTGACTGACTGCTACCACACTGACAGGGTTTCGGTAAACATTTGTGACTTTAGAAGGAAATGGATGGACTGCAATTGAAGACTAGATTCTCTTTTATACAAGGGTACACATGCCAAAGTCGTCACAACCATCAGGTCATAACCGTGTTCTGTCTTATCTGTCAGAGTAGTTATATTCTGAGACAGACAGATGATAATCATAGAAGCCAAGAGGTCCAATATGAGTCATGATGAGTCAGGACTGATTTGTATTGAACTTTTATTTGCTGAGAACAATAACATACTTGTGAACTTAATTATAATCCTCCCTGGTGCCACACCTATTGTACATGCTCTAGAGTTGCTTAATATTCCTTATTTTTAATGGGGCATCTCAGACCTTGACCAATAAAGAATAGCCTCGTGTTCTTTACTGCAGCTGCACTGTGTGAGCTCCCTTATTCTATACAGTGTGTGCCTAATTTGGGCATTATCTGAAGGGAGTAAGTTCCAGCTGATACATGTAATTTCCTCGTAGAAATAAAACGACAAGCAATGAACATATTGATGTCACCCAGAGTTTATTTAGAATTTAGATTGATGTAGAAGTGGGTGTTGTGTGGCTTTTTAAACACAACATAACATGTTCTTCTATTTATGTCAGGGCTATTTAAACTACATATGCTTTATAGAGATTGTAAATCTCATGACATTTTGGCAGAATGCCTCTACAGAATCTTACAGTTGAAATTCTATCTATGTTAAATGAATCACAGGCAAGGAAGTTTTTTAAATTAATTTTCACTCAGAGGAAAAGCTCAAAGTAGAAGCTAGAGTTTTTAAAAAAAAGAATTATATTTGTCACATTTGTGGCCAATCTCACCTTCAAGCAGCTTAGAATTGTATCATGAGATTTATTTTACTCGATTGTCATAACAGACCTGTGCGGTAGGATAGGCTATAAGACAATGAATTAGACAGGGCTAACTTAAGGAATTTTATGACCGAACAGGGATGTTAGTCTCAGGCCCACAGCCATAAATGTTGAGTTCTGGTGGTCTGAGTATAATTAGGATTTTAAAATAAAAAGCAGTTAAATTAAAAGTAAGGGATACACTTGTAAATACGTTTTCGAATAGTTTCCTCATACTCCACTCATAAATAAATATGTATGCAAGAGGATAGGTACACCTCAATGAGATCAATAGTCAGTCTGTCTCTGTTCTGTGAGGGGAAGCCAGAAGGACATTTCTGGTGGCCAGATGTCCAGCTTCCTGTCCCCAGAGCTAGAGATCTGGGAATCAAATTATATCATCACCATCATCCTTACAGATAAACCATTATTAGAGCTGAAATCGCAGTATTATCCCAGTGAATTCACACTAAGGAAATTGGGTTTCTGCAGATGAATTCACTTTAGCTGACCACACAGGAGTCAACAGAAAGAGAGGAGGAAATTTGCCAGTCAGCCCTTGTTTGCAGTTTCCCTGTGGCCGTCCAGATTTGCAGGAAACATGGCTAGAGCAGAACTATTTTAATAAGCTGCAAACAATAAAAGATTAGCAATCCCCCCCTTGTCCTTCAGTATCATACTACAGTGGTTCCCAGCCTTGGGTCCTCAGATGTTCTTGATCTGCAACTCCCAGAAGCTTGGGAGCTGCCACACCCATCTAACAACAAGGCAGAGGATGCAACACTACAATTAGCACTGGGACCTACACTCTCCCGCCATTTTTTGTGACCGCAAGATCTATTTATAGTGTCTTGGAGGCAGAAAAAGATTAGGCAAACCAGTGGAAGAGAGTATATCAGTGGCTTCATACTGAAATGAGTAAATGAAGCCTGATGTTGCCCTGAAAAGCAGGGCAATGATAATCCAGTGCCTACACCTAATTTGCTTATTCTCCCTCAAAAGGAGAAGGACACAACAGTGTCTGTTGCTCTACTGGCAACCTTCAGAAGGAAAGCAGTTTCAGCATCTGTACTTCTGCAAGCAAAGAAGGAATTTCCTTACGGAAGGAAGCAGAGGTGGAGCTGCAACGATCTTATGCTCTGCCACAACAGGCACTGGCTCCTAAGAGCCACAGAGATGCAACTCTCCAGGGCATGAGGAGCCCTGCCAAGCATGATGGAAGAGTGTCACCCCATCTCAAGGGATCTCGCTCACTGAGGTTAATGGCAAGGGTAGCTTGGTCTTTTAGAGGTGGCATTATCGAGATTCTTGATAGAATAAAATCCACACAGTCCTTTCTAGTTGTTTCAAACTATGACTCTAGAGGCAGGTTGCTGATGACATCATCTCTGCACAAAGATGAGTCACATTCATTCTTCCACAGGCTCCAACAAGCCTTCACCTCTGATGTCAACTCTATTTGTGCCAAAGGCCTAACTGAGTTTTCTTTCTTGTGGAACGTGAAGTTCTCCAAAATTGCCTTTGAAAGTTCTGTATTAGTCATAGTCCAAATAAATATAAAACGAGAAACACCCATGTTCTCGAACAGTAATTTGATTCAGCCAAAATTACCTCAGTGAGAACTTGTGTGTGCAAATTGAAATGTATGTTAATCTGGTCTAAATCTGTAAACAGGAAACCGTCTGAAGTTCTGAGTGCTTTGTTCTGTTTTTGTTAAAGCAGGATGGACAACATATGGGCTGCATTGTGGACACAAAAATGGAGCAAACATGTTTCTGAGTCGCAGGGCTATTTTTAACATGTAAGTACAGGAATATGCTAATCAAAATTTATGATATATATCTAATATTTAAAACATCTTTCCATGGTCTTTGACTGTTGGCTGAAGTTCTGAGTGCTTTGTTCTGTTTTTGTTAAAGCAGGATGGACAACATATGGGCTGCATTGTGGACACAAAAATGGAGCAAACATGTTTCTGAGTCGCAGGGCTATTTTTAACATGTAAGTACAGGAATATGCTAATCAAAATTTATGATATATATCTAATATTTAAAACATCTTTCCATGGTCTTTGACTGTTGGAACAACAACACATGTAAGTACAGGAATATGCTAATCAAACTTTACGATATATATCTAATATTTAT